TTGTGTTTACACTGTCTTAACAAGCACCATAGCACTGAATTCCCTCCTGAGGGCACTTTCAAAAGGATCATTAGCAGCAGCCTCAGAGAAGATCCCAACAGCTGCCTGAGCCAGCGTGAGGCTGCTTTCCCCTATAAACCCTGGAAGGCTCCAGAGCAGGAGGCATGGAGGTCCCTTGTAATATACACGGGTGTGTGCATCAAGAAAGAAATCAAGAGCCAGCCCAGTGCAGCAGTAGAAGGTAGATGTCTTTGCAGAGCAAATGAGGGCTTGTCCATATGGGGCGCTTGTGCACAACAGCGGGGTGTTAATTCTAAAGTGTCCCAATGTGTCGTGCACAAAGGACCTTTCAGAGGGCGCCAGCAAGAGTCTACATGAGACCGTTCACGAGCCGCACGTTGGTGCCCTTTAGAAATCCCATTGCTCTTGAGTGCACTTCCCCACCCTGTAGACAAGCTCTGAGAGCAGGAGACACGGAGGGGAGCAGCATGGAAGTGGAAACCGGATCCTGATCCCCACACCTACTTGGCATCGACAGAGAGGTCGCCACTTCTTGCTGAGGATTAAAGGTAAATCTGAACTTCCTGGGGTTTGTCCACACAGGGAGTTAGTGCGTGGCAAGCTGAGGTGGAAATCTACCATGCTGTAGGTTGCTGTGCAGTAAGGGGCTGCGTGGACCCCGCTATCAAGCACTAAAAGTCCCCTAGTGGCCTTTGAGCACTGTTTGAAATGGGGGTAGGTCAATGTGCACTTGGGAACGTTTCGTGCACTGGAGCAGGGTCCACACAGCGTGTTAGTACGTGGCAGGCTAGTGCGCTGTAGACTCACCCCCCAGTTTGCCATGATCTGACTCTCCATTTAGACAAGCCCTTAGTCAGATCCTGGGGATCTCACGTAGGGAGGAAACGGTGCCGTAGTGGGAAGGAGCACAGATGGGGTGCTCTCTCAGGCGCACACCGCAGCTGTGCATATCCTGCTCCCTCTCACTTCCTACTCTGCCCCTGATATGCCTCAGCCCTGCCCCCAACAGGGCCGAGCTGCGACACTGCAGAGCGTGGCTGGGAGCATTGAGTTCCAGCTGTTCTGTTGCACCAGGGGTGCTGCACGAAATCCAGGCCCAGACACTCTCACTCTTCAGCTGGGCTGCAGAGTGCAGCAGGGGTAGTGTGTGTCTCAGGGCACCGGGGAGGGAAGGAAAGGGAGAGGGGTCTGTGTGTGGCTGTTCAGGGCGTTCCCTTTGTGCACAGGGCAGGGCACTGGGCAGAGGCAGTTTCCCAGCTGCGCTGCTGGTCAGTGTCGCGCTCTCAGTGTCTCAGGCACTCGCATGAGGAGTGCGTGCTCACGCCCCGCTCTGCTGGCTCTGGCATGCAGGCTCCTGAGCTGCACCTGCCGTCTCAGAGCTGGGGGAGGAGAGCGTCTCTTCTTTTCCCATTTACTGCACGAGGCTGGGAACGGAGCAGAGGGTGAGAAGAGAAGCAGATGCATGGATGGGCAGAGTTTAATGGGACTGGGAATTTCAAGGGAGTCAGGTGACCAAATCCCCTTGATTTTCTACTGTGCCTAATTTCTTTAGGTCCCTTTGAATATCCCAGCCTCAGAAAAGGCTCGGAGAGTTTAATTTAAAGAGGAGATGAACAAGGTGGGACATGCGGGATGTTAAGGACTAATGAATGGGACAGAGAAACTCCATTAGGTGCACCTCCAAATCAAGAGTCACCCAATCAACTTAACAGGCAACACCTTTAACACTCAGACACAAAACCATTTTCTTTTTACACAATGTGTATTTGTCTCCTGGAACTCACTGTCATAAGAGATCTTTTTTGTAATTCAGGAAATTGAATAATGTGGTGAGCTATAGCTATGGATAGATTTGGATAGGGGGCTAACCTGGGATGTTGGACACCTGGGTTCAATTCTCTGCTCTCCTGCAGGCTCCCTGGGGGGGCCTTTGGGGGAATTGCTTACGGCCAGATTTTTAAAGGTGTTGAGGCACCAAACGATGTAGATGGACACCAGGTGGAATGCTGAAAAACATCTAAGCAGGTTAGGCACCTAACTCCCTTTGGCTTCAATGAGAGTTAGGCACTGAGCCTGATTAAGGACTTTGTAAAATCTCACTGGGCACTGATCTGCATTTTTAGGCACTAAGTACTTTATCAAACCTGGCCCTCTGGGCCTCAGCTCTCCATCTGTACAATGGCCACAAAAACCTTTTCCAATCTCACTGTGGTGTTGTGAGGATAAATATATTAAGGACTGTGAGGTGCTCAAATACAACGGTTTTGCTCAGTCTGTAACCAACACACTTCCATTGTTCTCGGTGCATGGGAATTTTCACTGAGTGAAGGCTGATTAAGGACTGTAGACCATGCAGTGTACTACTAGGAAAACACTTGAAATACAAAGGCTCTATCTCTTTGTCTGTCTCTCTCTCTTTCTTTTGGTTTCTGAGCATTTCCCATTCTATCCTGTTCCAGACAGGGTGTTTCAGTGTTTCTTTGATTGCCTGCCTTTAAGTCCTCTCTATGAAATTTTGCTCTTGCTTTTCAGCCCACTGTTGTTTTCCAAGCCCCTTTTTATGCTGTGGATGAGATATAGTGACTGGGTGAGTAATGTGTCCCATGTAGTAAGCAAAATCAGCTGCTCCATAATTCCATAAGGAAAATCAATCCTTGTGCTTAGGTGGCTCATGGCCAGGCTGTGGCTTGATACACCTTCTCTAATTGCCTCGGTACTGTGGACACACTCCGCCAACTACATGCACTTAGAGCATTTGTGTGGGGACACACACAGTCGCCTGTATAAAAACGCCTTCTACAAAACCGACTTTGAGAAATTCCACCTAATTTCGTAGTGTAGACAAGGCCTTGGTTAACTGATAACTTGGACACATTTTAGCTGACTTGGTGTTTCAGTGATCGTTTGAGTGAAATTGGTTACAGTGATACATTACTGATCTAGTGTATTACTAATTTGTCTCTTTATTTCTCTAACATTGGAATGCAGAGGGTTTTTTTATATTGTCTTTTCGGATGTGTTACATTTCTTATGATAAATAGAGCTTCTGGAAAATTTCTTCTCAAAACTGTTTTTTTTTTTTTTTGGTTTGTTTTTTTATGGAAAATTAGGTTTTCAAATTAAATGAGAATTTTTCATGAAAAGTGTCTGCTTTCCCTGGAAAATGGCATGTTTTCATTAAAAAAAAAATTGGCCAAAACCCAAAAACTTTTCAGCCAAAATCTGAAAAATATTGGGTCAAAAATCAAAAGCTTTCAGCTTCTGTTGGAAAATTTTCAGTTTTCAGCCACAACATTTTGATTGTCAATTTTTTTCAGAAAAAGTCAAACATTTCTGTGAAGGAAAAAAAATCCGTCAGCTCTAATGTTAAATAGGGGTGTTTCACACATCTCCCTCTATCTGTCTGATGTCTCTCTGTGCCTGTCTGTCTGTCTCTCTCTCTTTGCCTGTATCTTTCCCTCTCTCTCTATGGCATCGGTGGTGTATTGAAAACTGCATTAAAATTATATGCTCTCACTTTAAACTCTCAAGGGTTCTCCTGGTCCTGCTTGCAGACCAGGGGCTCTGTAGGGAAGCATGAGATCAGTGTCTTTCAGCAGTCAGTCTGGAAAGAGCCAGCCTAGAGCAATGCTGGGTGAGTTGGGTCTCTCTGCCCTAGGGAGCAGCCTGCTTTTTCTCTCTCAGGTTTTGGTTCTTGTGCATTAGGGTTTTGGATTTTATGCAATAAAGTCATGTTCCATTGCAACCTTCCAGAGACAGTATTTGATGTTTTAATCTAACTTCCCTGTTTGTATGCTGTGAGCATAACAGTACCCAGGGCAATTCCCATAGCTTTTATCTCCCATCTCCCAGCCCTTTAGACAGGGCTTGCATGCCTTTCTGTCTCCCTGACAACTCGCCTCTTTCACATGGACGCTCACTCCTTTCCGCAGTTGTTTTCAAAATGTCCTTCTGGATTTTCCCATAAAGTGGAAGTTCTGTGCATGTTCCTGACCCTGTAGCTGCTAGTTGTCTTCAGCAGAGCCTTTCCTCCACTGATCGGAGTGTCAGCTGATTGCTCTCAGCAGCTGTCGGGAGGCATTGAGCACTGCATCATCTCTTTGCAGTGTTCTTCCAGATTACAAGGTAGATCAACCACACCTACTCCTCTGTCTATCCCACTTAAGGAATTTGGACCCCCAATTCCCATTAAAATAATAACATATATTCAGTGCAGCAAGTCAGTTATTTAAAAATAAAATACATAGCATGTAGAATGTACATGTCCTCAGAATTTACAGCTCCTAGTTCTGACCTCACCTGGGCAGCTGTAAAATGGGAGGATCTCTGGCAGAAGTTAATATTGCAAAAAACAGTTTGTGAGATCAGAATTAGACCTCGTGGATTTATTCATGTGAGGAAAGGCTGCAAGATCGTTATTGTTAAAGCAATTCCTTTACTATCTCTTAGCTCTGCTGACCTTTTTAGTGTGGTCTAAAACTTCCCAGTGGCTAGCATCCTTTGAGGAACAGCAGATCCTTTGAGGCTCTGCATAGCTTGAATTAAGGTCCTGGTTCAGCAAAGCCCTCAGGCCCAGATTGTTGAAGCTATTTGGGGTTGCTGAGCTCAGTGTGGCAACAATGCCTGACTGATTGAGGAGCCTAAATTCCATGTTCAAAAGGGATATAGGCATGGAGGAGTCTAAATCCCATTGGCTGTCAATAGAAGGTAAACTCCTCGGTGCCTAAATCTGGGAAAAAGTGAGTTAGGCTTGGACATTGCGATGCTGAGTGCCGTAGCACCTAAATAGCTTTAAAAATCTGGCCTTAAGGCACCTATGTTGCCTAAATACTGTTGAAAATCCCATGAGGCATCTATCTGCAACTTTGGGTGCCTAAATGCCTCTGGATATTTGTCCTTCTGCCCTTTCTTAAGGTGATGGGATGTTTGTGCCTTTGAAAGTCCCACCTCTGAGTTTTAGTATTTTTATTTGTTCCTAGATGCACCTCATAGAGAAAGCAGAAGAGGACAATCGAACGGTCATCACAGAATTCATCCTCCTGGGATTTGGGAATCTCCCTGAACTGCAGATCCTTCTGTTCCTGGTTTTCCTAGTGATCTACATTGTGACCACGTCTGGAAACATCCTAATCATTGCGCTAGTTGTGGCTGATCAGCACCTTCACACCCCCATGTACTTCTTCCTGGGGAACTTGTCCTGCCTGGAGACCTGCTACACCTCTGCCATCCTGCCTAGGATGCTGGCCAGTCTCCTGACTGGAGACAGAACCATTTCTGTCAGTGGCTGTTTTGCACAGTTGTATTGCTTTGATTTTTTGGCAGCTACAGAATGTTATCTCCTAGCAGCAATGTCTTATGATCGATATTTAGCGATATGCAAACCCTGCATTATGCAGCCCTGATGAACAGCAGGTTGTGCCTCCAGCTAGCAGGGGGGTCTTGGATAAGCGGATTCCTAACTTGTGTAATAATGATGTGTTTTATGTCACAATTAACATTCTGTGGCCCCAGTGAAATTGACCATTTCTTTTGTGATTTTTCTCCAATGCTAAAACTCTCCTGCAGTGACACGAGCACGATCACACTGGTTAGTTTCATACTCACCTCCCTAGACTTGCCTTGCCCATTTCTATTAACTGTGACATCCTATGTTTGTATCATTGCTACTATCCTGAGAATCCCTTCCACCACCGGGAGGCAAAAGGCCTTTTCCACCTGCTCCTCTCACCTCATTGTGGTTACAGTTTTCTATGGGACCCTAATAACTGTGTATCTGCTACCAAAAACCAACAAACAGATAGCCCTGAACAAAGTGTACTCTGTCTTCTACACAGTCCTGATTCCCCTGGTCAACCCCCTCATCTACAGCCTGCGAAACAAAGAGATGAAGGAGGCCCTGAGGAAAAGTCATCAGTTAATATATGTTGCTCAAATGAATTCAGATGGAGTCACTGATCTGTGAAGGAATCTATCTGGCTCAATGAGCAAGAAAAGTTTTCATCTAGTAGGGCCTGTCATAAATATAAAGGGAAGGGTAAACACCTTTAAAATCCCTCCTGGCCAGAGGAAAAATCCTTCACCTGTAAAGGGTTAAGAAGCTAAAGGTAACCTCGCTGGCACCTGACCAAAATGACCAATGAGGAGACAAGATACTTTAAAAAGCTGGAGGGAGGGAGAGACAAAGAGTCTGTCTGTGTGATGCTTTTGCCAGGGACAGAACAGGAATGGAGTCTTAGAATTCAGTAAGTAATCTATCTAGATATGCGTTAGATTATGATTTCTTTAAATGGCTGAGAAATTAAGCTGTGCTGAATAGAATGAATATTTCTGTCTGTGTGTCTTTTTGTAATTTAAGGTTTTGCCTAGAGGGATTCTCTATGTTTTGAATCTAATTACCCTGTAAGGTATTTACCATCCTGATTTTACAGAGGTGATTCTTTTTTACTGTTTCTTCTATTAAAATCCTTCTTTTCAGAAATTGAATGTTTTTTCATTGTTCTTAAGATCCAAGGGTTTGGGTCTGTGGTCACCTATGCAAATTGGTGAGGATTTTTACCAAACCTTCCCCAGGAAGTGGGGTGCAAGGGTTGGGAGGATTTTTGGGGGGAAAGACGTTTCCAAACAATGCTTTCCTAATAAAATAAACCCGGATAAATGTTTGGTGGTGGCAGTAGAAGTCCAAGGGCAAAGGGTAAAATAGTTTGTACCTTGGGGAAGTTTTAACCTAAGCTGGTAAAGTAAGCTTAGGAGGTTTTCATGCAGGTCCCCACATCTGTACCCTAGAGTTCAGAGTGGGGAAGGAATCTTGACAGGGCCCTAGCTCATGCCAGTGGGAAATGCTTTGGGGAATGTGAGGACATACTACATTTTGGGATGACAACATTCCCATTCATGGCTAACGCTGATACTTGCTACTGCCTTAATTGGAAACCTTACTGTCTTGCACTCTACACTCCACATGGTGACATTTGGGATTTCAGATACGTGTTTCATCTATTTCTCTGCTCTCTCTGAGTTGAGAAAATGCCACATTTTACTTGGCACTGGCCTCAGATCCCTGTGGGTGGAATTAGCTGGTTCAAATATTTTCTCTCTCCTTGATGTCCTGGATTCCCAAAATTTATATCTGGGAAGATTGTACTGGACTTCCCACTCTTGTACTATATGCCATCTTGCAATGGGTAGAAGGGGCATAAGGATGTGCCTATACTGCAATGTAAGCCTAGGGTCTGCGGGACTTGAACCCGTTGGCTCGGTGGGTGTAAACCTGGGCTTGAGCATCCACACTGCATATTAAGCTAAGGTTCAGAATTTCTGGACCCGGGCCTCACGCCAGTGCTCAGGCATCTGTGCTGCACTACGCAAACCTAAGTCAAACCAGCCTGTGCCAGGTTTCCTAGCACCCTCCCCAGCGGTAGCCATTCTAGCCCTTTGTGATGCCCTGTGGGAAAACTTGACTGTCCATCCCGTGGCACTTTACCGGAAGCTGTTGCATCCTGCCAAGGCATCCGGCCGAGCTGTCTTTTGAGTCTACACGTGCCCGACGGCTGGAGCCAGCAACAGGGTGGAGTCAGCGTTTGAAGCACTTGTCTTGCTTGTGCTTTCGCTCCTGTTTCAGGCAATGGGCAGAGAGTCCATGAAGTGCTGGTGGACGTTTCGGGGGCATTTTCTGACCTGCTGAAGAAGGCACCTGTCGGGGGAGGGGGGGGGGGTGAAACAGACCTGTCAGACTCAAACTGGCTGATGGTGCTCACAGCTCTCGGGAGAGCTGCTGATGCCCCCTGTGTAGACCGGCGCTTCTGGAGCAGGGCCACGAGCACAGACCAGTGGGACCCCATAGTCATGCGGATCTGGGATGACTAGAACTTGCTCATGAAGAAAGCTAGATTTCTGGAGCCTTGTGAGCAGCTTGCCCAGACCCTTCAGCACCATGACATATACGCGAAGGAAGCCATTCCTGTTCAAAAGTGGGTTTCTACACCCCAGAGTCCTACAGGTCCGTTGCTAACCAGTTTGGGGTTGGAAAGTTGACTGGACGGTAAAGTGGTGGCCGAGGTTTCTGAGGCGATCAGGTGTGTGGTTTATCCAAAGGTGGGGGCATAAACAATATCCCCGAAGTAACTGCTGGCTTGGAGAGAATGGGGTTTCCCCACTGCACTGGGGCCACTGATGGGACTCATGAGCCCATTGCTTGCCCTCCTCAAGGAGCAGGAGTACCTACACTGCAAAGGGTACTACTCCATGGGCATGCAGGCCCTTGGGGACCACAGAGGGCAATTTATGGACGCCAACGTGGGCTGCACGGGAAAAGTTCATGATGCCAGGGTTTTCCGCCAGCCAGGCGTCTACCTTAATGGACAGGCCGAAACACTATTCCAAATGACAATGTCATAAATGGAGTCATTGTTCCCACGGTTATTCTAGGGGATCCCATGTACCCCCTTTTGCCTGGGCTTATGAAACAGGATCCTGATCACAGAGGCCCTGGCAAAAGGAGGTTTAATTACATTCTCAGTAGGTGTAGAATGGCGGTTGAATGTGCGTTTGTCAGACTGAAATCCTCGAGCCTGAGTCTGAGTTTGGGCTTACTTTGCAGTGTAGACATTCCCTAAGACCCAGTGCATCAGACCCTAAACAGATTAATGGCTAACAAAGTAAAATAAATGATGTGAATGATTTTTGTTGACACAACCTCTTTGCTACAGCAGCAGCAACAAACAACAAAACCAACGTCAAGTAAAAAAAACAGCAGTTAGGCCTGGAGGAAATGCTAGTCATGACATATTTGACAAGTGCCAGCATCTTTCATCCTGAAGCACATGGGGTAAAATTTCCAAAAGTGCCTAGCTGACTTAGAAGCATAATCACATTGACTTTCAATGTGACAGAGATTCCCCAGTCCTTAGGGCCTTCTGAAAGGGGAACGCAGGCTCTGAGGTCACTTGGGCGCTTTTGAAAATTCTACCCATTGAGTAGTACTTGAATTCTTAGGACTCCGATTCAAATTAATACACAGGAACTAATTGAAGGCATGACAGTAGTTGAACCATTGAGGGTACGTCTACACGGCAGCTGAAGGTGAGCCTCCCAGCCTAGGCAGGCAGACTCGCCCTAGCAGGGCTTGTGCTAGCGTGCTAAAAATAGCTGGGTGAACATTGTAGGGTGGGGCCAAGCCTGGGTGACTAGCCCGAGCCTCCGCTGAGGTGGGGGATGTTCTAATGAGCTGGACGAAACCTCGTTATGGTTGAGTTAAAAAACGTATTCTAACTGATGTGTGAACACACCCTTCTAGTCACATACCTGTCAGGATGAGTTAAGCAGAAGCCCCTTCCCCCACCTAAGATAAAGAGGTGTGTGAACTTGCCCAGGAATTTGGACTGAGTGGGCAGAAGGGCTTTGCTGAGAGAGAGAGAGAGAGAGAGAGAGCGCGCTAGAGGGGAAAAAAGCCAAGCAGTAGCCCAGTGCGAGCCTGGAAAAAGTGAGTGTTTGGATCTAATAAGGTGGCTAACGAGACTTGGGGCAGTAAGCAAAGAAGCTGCTCCTTTTGTTCTTGGTTCCTCATGCATTCAGAGAAGTTGGACTTTGTACATTCCTTGTCAATAAATGAGATCAAAGAAAATACCAGACTCCATCAATTTCTACTTCCAATGGGGACATCCCCATGGCTCCAAACTTTGCCTTGCCACTCTGGTCAAAAAGGGGTAATGATACACAGTCTTTACCCGACATGGGGATACACATTGTGTGTGGGGCGGTTTCAAACCTAATGTCCTCAGCCTCTACTCAGGGTTGTCTTGTTTTTGCAGCAGAAGAGCTGAGAGTCTCTGTCTGGTCCCTAGAGAAAAACAACCTGCTGCTTAGAGTAATAGGTATTATCATCATTACATATGATAACTCTGGCTATTCTTGTTAGCCATACAAATGTCCAGTCCCGCTTTCATGATTACAGTCTAATCACACATCGTAGGAAAAGGTATTTATTGGTTCAGAATTTGCCATCTTTTAATTTTATTGTATGTCCCTGTGATGTTTCTTGTGGATGCCTGGGGTTGTGCGGTACCCACTGCCACCTGCCCTTAGCGTGGGGAAGCCAAGTCTGTGCCTGCCGGGGGTCAGCTCCTCAAATCCACTGGTCATGGGTGACACAAGCACTCCCTTCTAGGCCTATGCAGGCCCCGCTGTTACTGTACAGGTTAGCGACAGGCTCGCTCCAACACCCGAGCCAGGTCCACCTCAGATCATGGCTCTGCTTGACACACAGCACTAAGAAATGGTTACAGTCAAAAGAAGTCTGACGTTATTTACCGAACCACAGAGAGTCAAGTAGCAGCAAGTAAAAGTATTGGGAACAAATGGTTACATATAAAACAAAATCATACCCTGCGTTCTGGAGCCCAGACTTGATTAACAGGAGACTCTCACGTCTTGCAGAATATTGCTCACCCCAAAATGCTTGCAGAGCATTACAGCTAGCCTTGGCCATGACCCAGGTTTCCTGAAGCAAATACACTGTCAGTTGCCTCCCAAGTGAAGGATTTAGTGTTTTTCTTTGCCTAGTATAGATACCATAACTCCTTAAATATTATCCGTACATACATTTTGCAGTGATTATGATGACCAGTGGGCAGCTGGCTCTTCGTAATCTCACATGTCACCCTTTGGTATTATGCAGATATCCAACCCAATGGATCGCTGTAAAAACCTATGCCCTCTGCCACTTGGCACCAAAGGGGTTCCTGGGTCACAGTCCCCTTCTTCTTGTGTTATGAGACAGGGAGAACAGAAGGGCCTAATCTACCGCCTCTACACCATTCATTATTTTATACACTTAAGTCTCCTCTGACCCATTGCTCCTCTGACCCAGATGTTAGTGATTTGAGATTCACCACTTCTTGTGGTGCATCCCCCCTCTTCTGAAGCTGGCCTGCGCCGACATCTACCTGAACAAGGTGGAGATATTTG